ACAAACCACTCAATGCAGAAATTCCCCACCTTAACCTTTACCATGTGTTTTAATGCAAGAAACTGTACGGCTTTCTTGGGTCATCTTTTAAAGGAGAAAAGAGTAGGATTCTATTTTGAATGTGGCTGACTCCAGTTATAGACTCAAAAATATGTTCTCTTTCTGAAGGAGGAAAGTTTAACCTTTGGAGCAGGGTACATAAGAAGATTAAAACGGCAGTTATTTCCAAAGCACTTGGAAGCAAGTCAATCGCCTTCAGCCCAGCAACTGAAAGTGGTTGACGCTACTATGAGACAAAACAGCCTGCACCACGAAGCATCAGAGATTGTAGCCGGCTATGGGGCGATGGCTGTGGAGACACCACACACAGCTCAGATACTTGCCTAGAGTGGAGTAATAACCCAAGTAACAATAATAACACCACTGGATTGTTTGGGCACATGATTTACTTTTCCTTTAAAATTTCAGTGACAGGGCCCTCCCTTGTGGTGCAAGGGACTCAAGTACAGCACTATGAAGCTATATGAATCCACTGCTGCACAAGTTCGATCCCCAGCCAGGAAAGTGATCCACAAGGCACAGCAGACCCCTCCTATCCGAGTGCAGTACACCCTTCAGCATGTACTTCAGTAGATCTGCCTGTTCTGTTCCCCACTCCATCTCTGCTGAATCCTCTCACCACCCCCTAGCCTATGCCCCAGTTCTCATATGCATAAATAAGCCTTTAAAAATAAAATTTCAGTCATAGACTCCAGACTCTTGACTCTTCCTTCCACACTGTCTCTTTCACAGTGATAGCTGTTAAAGTGCCTTGAAGGGAAAGATTCTCTACTACAGACAGGAAGAAAGCTAGCCACTGCACTGGCTAAGAAAGGGAAAAGATAGTAATTAAATAACACTTTCTTTCCACCCCAACCCAGTTGTATGTGAATTCATGGGGGAAGGGGATTGAGGGAAAGGGGGTTGTCCATCACAACTTCTACCCTGTAGTTTGATGTTGGCCTTTCTAATTTTTTCAAGCATTTTCACTTAGTTGTAGTGAACTCCCCCCAGTTTTAAATGACACTGCACTTGCAAATCAGAAAATCAGGGCCTCCCTGGTGGCCTACGGGTTAAGACTCAGTACTGTCACTGCCACAATCCAAGTTCGATCCCTTACCAGGGCGCTAACCTAGCAGACCTCTCCTGTCTCCCCTTTGCTCCCCTCAACAGTGTATTTGAGTAAATCTGCCCGCTCTACTCACTACTCTGTCTCTGGTGAGTCCTCTCAACCCTGGCACCTCTAGCCTACACCCCAGCTCTTCTATGCAAAAATAATCAAAATAATTTTTTAAAAACCAGATAGATACACTTAAAACTTAACAGCGTAGTGGTACAAATTCTACTTAAGCTGTCCCCAAATCTAACAGTTTGTTTTCATGCTAACTGCATGAATCACTTTCACATGTCAGAGTTTTATTTCAAATGGATGCCTACTATAATGCATCAAAACGGTTTTGAAGTCTGGATATAATATGTTACTGTCTCTAGGAACAACCAGCCACTGGAGAGATGGAAAAACAAAATACGCAGAGTATAACATGCAATTGTTTATTATCTTAGTGGACTAGGGCTTTTCAAGGCAAATATTCTCACTTATTTAAGGTACTGTAGTGGGAGTCATGCCCAGCACAATTAAGACAGGACTACATTGCAATTTATGAGTTTCTCAACGATGTCATTTAATCTGAAACATAACAATCATTTCTCCCAAAGATTGCCATCTACAATCCCACCCCCAAACTCTGCTTTGCTGAGGCAATAAAACTAAATAGCAAAACAGCAGGTAACTAAGGCTTTTGAGACCAATTGGAAGAAATGTGCTGCTTTCCACCAACTCTAGTAATAACACCACCTTACATAGAAAGAGCGTACAATCTTACATCTTTCATGCACAGGAGCTTCTCAAATGCACTGAAGTAGCATAAACATATTCTTCCATTTTATAAAAGACGAAACAGAATGACTGGCAACCTTCCTTTCAGAACTACGCCAGGAACCTTTGAGGTTTAAGAGTGCTCTTCCAGATACTCCTACCAACGACCAATCTTACCTAGTCCCCACCTCCTCCCGCCCGCCCCCGGCCCCCTACCACCCCCGCCGCCATTTTGGACTGCCCCGGGGTGCTTGAGGAGTGAGATATCGCGAGAGCCCCGGCCCCCTACCACCCCCCCATCCTTAACAGAGCTGCCACAGCGAAGGAGTGCAGCGAGTGCGAGGCTCCCAGAAAGAGCAACAGTTGCTGCTGGGCAACATCACCCAAAAAGGCATCCCAAACATGACTCAAGAGTGACACGGTGACCAACGGCACAGCATGGTCCTACGAAGGAACCCTCCCCGCCTTGAATGAAGTTTCCATGCTCTTCTAAAGCATCGGTGGGCGGACACTCTACCTAGGTAGTCAATACCACACAATTAACTGAACGAGAAAACCGAGGGGGCCACGCATTTCTGAAGGAAGGCGGAGTCTCCTCCCTGCTCCCCACCTCCCGAAAGAGACGAGAGCTGGGGCAGAGGCTCCCGTTCGGGAACCAGCGGTCCCCCGCTCACCTGGAGGAAAGCGCCACGTTTCGGGGCCGAAGACCGAGGCCCCGCTCAGCCTCGCCTCCTCCTCCGCCTCCGCCTCCG